GTCAACTGGCTGCACCCATCTAGAGTAGACAGGTTAGGGCAAGCGTTTCAAGTTTTAATGTGCATGGGAATCACTTGGAGGTCCGGTTAAAATGCAGGTTGTGGCCATGCAGCTTGGCTCAGTGGTAGCACATTGACCAGTGAATCAGGATATCACAGTTTGATTCCAGGTCAGGGAACACTGGATGTTCAGGTTGAGGGGCGTGCAGGAGGCGGCCAATCAATGATTCTCTGTCGTCATTGATGTTTCTCTCTCTCTCTCCCTTCCTCTCTGAAATCAATATGAATATATTTTTAAAAATGCAGGTTGATTCGGTAGGTTTGGGTGTGGTGTGGTGGTGCTGACACTGCAGGTCTTTGCTTAGCAAGGGGTTACGGGATTTCTGTGCAGATCAGCCAGGCCTGAAGCCCATGGTTGTGAAAGAGGAAATTAAACAGATAATTTCTTTCTCACCCCCAGGGATTATCTTCATGCCAGGGACAACCCAGATGAAGGCCAAGGACATTCTCTACCGACTAAAGGAGTCTAATGCCCAGAGCATCGTGACCACAGATGCCCTTGCCCCGGAGGTGGACTCTGTGGCTTCTGAGTGTCCCGCTCTGAAAACCAAGCTCCTGGTGTCTGACCACAGCCGGGAGGGGTGGCTGGACTTCCGATCTCTGATTCAGTGAGTTTCGGGTCTGATGGAGGTGCTCTCTGAGGAACGGTGGGAGAAGGCCCTCCGCACCCAAGCGCTGTAGACAGACAGCTGGTGGTAGGAAGCTCACCAGGCCTGGCTCGAGAAACCTCTTCCCAGCTGTGTCCCTGACCTGCTGTGTGACCCTGGGCTACTCCTGCCCCTCTCTTAGCCAAGGTTGCTTTATCTGTAACATCAGGACATTGCATGTTTCTCTCTCTGTCTGTCTCTTTCTCTATCTTTCTCCCTCCCTCTCTCTAAAATCTATACAAGCAAACCAGGTTTCTGACTTTGAGCCTCATGTTGTGTCTTTTGCTGACCCTGAGGGTGGAGCCAGGAGACTTGACTTCTCTCCTTTTCTGTTCAATCCCTTTGTAGATCAGCATCCCCAGATCACACCTGTATTAAGTCAAAGACCACGGACCCAATGGTCATCTTCTTTACCAGTGGCACCACCGGCTTCCCCAAGATGGCAAAACACAGCCATGGACTTTCCTTGCGACACTCCTTCCCTTCATGGTAGGAAAGAAGGCATCAACTCAGAGGCTGGGTCACAGTCTGGGGCAAGGGGTCTGTGTGTGTGTGTGTGGGGTGTGTGTGTGTGTGTGGGGGTGTGTGTGTGTGTGGGGGGGTGTGTGTGTGGGGGGTGTGTGTGTGGTGTGTGTGTGTGGGGGGGTGTGTGCGTGTGTGTGTGTGTGTGTGGGGTGTGTGTGTGTGGGGTGTGTGTGTGTGTGTGTGTGTGTGTGTGTGTGTGTGTTGGGAAAGGTGCTCTAAGTAGAATTGAGTCCATCCTGCTTCTCCCTTCTGCTCTTTGGTTCAGACCACTGAGGGTCTCTGAGGCGAAGGTCTGGACTTCTAAGTGTGTGTTTACAGAAGCCTCCCAATGACAAGGGGGTCCTGCCTGAGCACCTTCACAGGTGTGGAGGGAACGTGGGTGGAGGCAGCAGGCATTTTGCAAGCTGCACAAATGACAAGCCATGTGTCTTTGTCACTGGTTCCAGGTATGGTGGGAGGAGGACAGGAAGTTCTAGCTGTGTGAACTGTACAGATACAGAGGTGGAGTTTCCCAGTCATGAGCCATTAGGGGGAAGTAATACCTGGAGCCAGGCCACTGCCTTTAAGCTAAAATAAATAATTGTAGAGGCTGAAGACATAGCCTTGGGTTAACCACGTAATCAATTTTAAACCAAACATCGTTTCCCTCCTACTTCCTCCTCCCCAAGTAGTAATATTCAGAGCAGACCAAGTTCGGTGGGGAAGTATGGGCCTTGGTTGGCAAGTCTGTAAGGAGGATTCTTCAATGTTGGGGGACTCATTGCCAAAGACGATAGCCCCTGCCTTGACTTTTCCAAACAAGTCTGATCCCCTGGGTGTTTTGCTGGAATCTCTATGTTTAGTCTTTAAGACCTGACCTTGAAGAAGCATTTTACCCTACTGAATGTATCTAGAGGTTAAATTTAGTTTAAGCTGTTGTTACAATAAAAGGCTAACAGGGCAGGCATTTGGGGCTCTTTTGGTTCCTAAAGCTAAACAAGCCCCTTAGCTTTCTCTTTCACAGAAACGTGTGTTAAAATAAACTATTCATCCATCTCTCAAGGTCTGCTGGTCAGTCCCAGCAAAGTTCTATGTATTTTGTACCTTATAAAGCAGAGCAAGGGGCAGAGAAGGTGTCTTATGGACACTGGGTATCTGTGCTAATGATATCACTTGATCAGCAAAACCGTGGAGGATTGGGGATGGAAAGAAGGGGAGAGTTTTCTGAGTAGTCAGAATAACAAGCAAAGGCGCAAAGATATAAAAGGTAGCATTCATAGCCCAGCCGGCGTGGCTCAGTGATTGAGCATCGACCTATGAACCAGGAGGTCATGGCTCAATGCCAGGTCAGGGCCCGTGACCAGGTTGCGGGATCCATCCTAGGTATGAGGCATGCAGGAGGCAGTCAATCAATGATTCTCTTCACCATTGATGTTTCTATCTGTCTTTCCCTGGCCCTTCCTCTCTGAAATCAATAAAAAAATATTTTTAAAAGTAGCACTCATAGAGATTTGAGAGGAGCTGCTGCTCAGCATGTCAGGGAGGCACAGATGGGAGGAGCTGAGAGAGTGAGTGGGGGCCAGAGTACTCGGGGTCCTGGGGACTTTGGTGTAGAGATTGAGCTTATTGGGAAAACAATAAGCTTATTGGCGGTATTGAAAGGTTGTTAACCAGGGAGAGACCTAATCCAATTTGTATTTTGAAAAGATCACTGTGGCTGCAGGGTGCAGATTGGCTTGGAAAAGAATAGATTTCAAAAGACCTGTTAGAGCAGCGGTTCTCAACCTGTGGGTCGCGAGACCTTTGGGGGTCAAACAACCCTTTCACAGGGGTCACCTAAGACCATCGGAAAACACATATATAATTACATATGGTTTACAGTAGCAAAATTACAGTTATGAAGTAGCAATGAACATAATTTTATGGTTGGGGGTCATCACAACATGAGGAACTGTATTAAAGGGTCGCGACATTAGGAAGGTTGAGAACCACTGTGTTAGAGGGTCTTGAATAATTTAGGTGCAAGATGGTGGTTCCTTGGACAAGGTGCTGGGGACACGAGAAAGTTAAGAAGACTGAGATTTTAGGAGCCAGAATGGGAGGGTGTGCTGGCTAATGTGGGAGGTAAGAGGGGCTGGAGAGTCAAGGTGGACTCCCAGGTTTGGAGCTTGGGCAGTAATGACAGTCACTGAAACACAGAGAGCACTGGAGAAGAATGAGTCCCGGGAGGCAGGAGAGATTAGGATGCTGTGGGTGTGAGATGCCCGAGAGACGTCCCAGAAGAGATGCTCAGTGGGCAGTTGGGTGTGAAGCTCAGAACAGAGGTCCCCAGCTTGTAATTTCCTGTGGGTGTGCCACAGCCCTCAGAGATGGGAACAGGGAGTGTGAATGGCTCTCCAGGCCCCTCCCTAGTAATAGAAGAGCTCTTCAAAGCCATAGCTCCTCATGGGAGAGTTGAGTTTTTCTCAAGGAGTTATGCACACAGAGGTCCCTCGGAAGCAGTAAGAGTAGGGTGTCAAAATGCTTCAGACCTAGCTGAGCAGCCACTGGATTCAATTTTCTGTCTCTCCATCTACCAGCTGTTTCTGTTGTGTGTGTGTGTGTTTTTAAAAAAATTAAATCTTTATTGTTCAAAGTATGACATATGTTCCCTTTCCCCCCATTCCCTCCTTCAAGCCCACCCCACCCCCTGTTTGTTTATTATTTATTAGTTAATCCTCAGAAGAGGTTATTTGTTTTTCATTGATTTTTAGAGAGTGTGGGAGGGAGAGACAGAAAGAGAGAAACATTGATGTAAGAGAGACACATCAATTGGTTGCCTCCCACATGCACCCCAACCAGGGCTGCCTGCAACTGAGGTACATGCCCATGACCAGAATCAAACCCAAGACCCTTCAGTCCGTGGATTCAACGTTCTAAACACTGAGTCAAACCAGCTAGGGCTGTTTCTATTATGTTTTGATGCTGTTCTCAGAAAGGCCCCTCCCTTATTATCCCCGATGGCTGCCAGCATTGCCCAAACCTACCAATAACAGATGCGAATCCAGAAAAAGAGCCACAGACCTCATCCCAGTATTCCCAGCCTTAAGGATCATTATGATTGAACCAGTTGAAGTGGCATGTGACCAGGAAATCTGATTGGCGTGCCTTTGGGACTGGGGTGGGAGTGAGTCTGGAGCCCCACACAAACCACATGACTTGAGAGAGAGAGGGGTGGCTCGCTGTCTGAGAACCAGATTCCCGAGCCCTGGGTCACATCCTCCTGTGGTTACAAAGCTGAGGCCACTGTATTTGGAGTCAGCAGGGAAGTACTGCAGCTGAAGGCCTCTGATGTCCTGTGGTGCCTGTCAGATCCAGGCTGGATTGTGGCTACCTTGGAGACCATGTTTGAACCATGGACAGCAGGGTCTACAGTCTTCATCCACCATCTGCCCCAGTTTGACCCTAAGGTCATTGTGGAGGTAAGAGGACTAATCTCTGAGTGTGAACAAACTCCCAGAGAAACTCATGCTTCAGGCTCAAAAGCTGGCCCCTGCTGAGAAGAGTGTATGTAACAAAGAAACCCATTAGGGTGATAGAACCTGGGCTCTGGGGGTCTCAAATATGGGGCTCTGAATCAGTCAGTGAATCTTCCAGAGTACACATTTTGAGAAATTAAAGCAACCAGAACAATCTCAGGTCTCCTGGCTCCTCCAGGGCTGGGTAGCTGGTGTGTGCGTGTGAATTTATTGAAGTGTTTAAAACCAGAGCCCTTGGAATAGGATGGTTCTAGCAGCTAGAATCTAGCTCCTTTTCACACCTTTAACATTTGTTAGTGGTAACCTTACCTCTCTGAGCTCAGTCTCCTCACCTGTAAGATGGGAGTTTTAATAATCACTACCTCATAAAATTGTTGGGAATATTGAGATGATACAGGCAAAGTGTGTAAAGTGGTTAGCGCTGAGGCCTGCACCTGACAACACTCAGGAACTGGTAGCAGTTGCTGTTAATGTTATGAGCACATCATGGTGACGATTGAAGTTGCCTCCACAAACCCTTTCAAATGACTTCCCTGCTCCTGAACATGCTGTTTGTGTCTCCACTCACTGCACCCTTGCTTTCCTTCCCCAGACCTGCCTCCCCGCCACTCAAGTCCAAGCCCCTCCCCTCACCACTGTGGGGCCAGTTCTTCTCCAGGCCCTTCCATTGGAGCCCCTCACTGCTCATCTTTATCCATTATACCCTTTCTTCTACGTTATCAGTCTCTCACCTCTCATGAATGCAACTCCCCCAGTCCATAAACACATGCATGTTCAATATATAGATACTGGAAGAATTAACAAATGAATAAATGGGCTGTCTCAGAAGGGAGATCAGAATAAACATGGTAATAATTGGCCAGTATTTTGTTGTTGTTGTTTATGGCCAGTATTTTTCATCTTAACTATAAATATAAAATTTTTCTCTGTTCACCTTGTAGACACTCTTTAAATACCCCATCACCCAGTACCTTACTCTGCCCTCCGTATTTCAAATGATTCTGCAGGAGAATTTTAGCAGGTATGTAGAGGTGGCCTGTTGTAATAACAATCTTTGGGTAGGATTTTAAGGATTCTATTTCACTGTGGTCTTGTTGTTATTGGGGAACAGGCTCTTCTATGGGGTTGGGAGGAAAGAATGTTAAGGATCGATGTGCAGTGTGCTTTATTTGTTAGGTAACATCAATAGAGTTCTCCTCCCGGCTTCCCAATGCCCCATCTCTCTGGGCCCTGTCCTGCAAAAAGTCCAATCTCCTCTTCAACAGCCAACGCAAAGGCCAATGCCCAGAGTTTCTGCTTCATGATCCTTTGGGCCTGGAAGTCTCCGCTGGCCCAGGTGGCCTCCAGACCTGCATGGTCCTTTGCTCCTGGGCGGGAGGGGACAGGAACAAATTGGGCCAGTGGGGCCCCAGGCAAGAGAGAGAGATAGCATTACCCCCCGGGTCTCAACCAGGGGCTTTTCAAAACAACCCATTAACTTCCCAAGATTCCAGGGGCATGCACTGGGCCCACTCCTGGCCAAAGATCTTTTCCCAGGTTAGACTGACAGCCTCTGTGGTCCCACACCTCCCCCTGCGCCATTTTGACTTCACTGGGCAGTTCCTGACCTCCCTCCTCCCCCTCCCACACACAATCCCAACCCAGAGGGGAGGGAGGGTGTTAATCCCCTTGGGGGGGCTGTGCTGCCATTTCTTGGGTGTGAAACTGGAGCTTCCTGGTGAAGCAAACAGGCCTCTGCTTCCAGCTGCCTGTGCTCAACACTGTCAGCCTCTCCCCTGGCTCTGCTTCCTTCAATCACCAGCCAAGGACGGTAACAGTCTGACTGTTCTAACTCTGGTTCTTTGAGGACAGTGAGAGCTAGTGTGTGTGGGGTGTGTGTGTGTGTGTGTGTGTGTGTGTGTGTGTGTGTGTGAGAGAGAGTGTGTGTGTGTGTCAAATGCTGGTGGCGATAATTACCAGCCAGTCTAATTAGTTTATTAAGCAGGACTCAGATCCAAATGAAACGGTGAGCCTTGCATCATTGTGGCCTTTTTTCTGTTTTAAACTTTTTTTTATTGTGAAATAACAAACATGCAGAAAAATACATAAGACACAAATTTGTAGATTAAGAAATTGTTGAAAATTAAACCAATATGTAAGCACTCATTCAAGACACAATAAGAGAACATCACCAGCCCCCAGTGACCTACTCAGACCTCTCCAACTCCTTAAAGGAACTCACTGTCTTGACTTTTATGGTGTTCACTCATTCGTGTGTGTTTTTCTCCCCCTCTCTCCCTTGTAGTTTACCTCCTAAGGAAATATTAGTCTCTTTTACTTGCTTGTGAGTTTTGTGATCATATTATTCTGTAATGTCTGGCTTCTTTTTATAAATTATATTTCTAAGATGTGCCCATGTTGCATCATATTGCTGTAGCTAACGTTTATTGCTATATAATATCCCATTTTGTAAAAAGGCCACATTTTCTTCAATCTGCTCTACCACTAATGGACATCTGGGTGGTTTTCATTCGAGGGCTGCTGATGACTAACACTGTTCTTGCACATTCACCCTGTGCACATCAGCACTCATTTGTGTGGGGTCTTTCTCAGAGAAATTGCTGAGTCACAGTGACACCGCATCCTACCACCTATTTTCCAAAGTATCCCATCGTCCTGTGCGCCCACTAGCAGGGAGGCAGGATTCCCTTGTTCCACATCTTTGACAATATTTGTTTTTGTCACAGTCTTTAATTTTTACCAATCTGATGGATGTGGTGTTATTTTGTATTTCCCCGTGTTCATAGATTAATTTTGAGCTAAAGGGCAATCTTGTCTTTGAACCTAATGGGCATTTATGTATATTTTAGAGACTCTAAAATGCAAATGGCTGCTTCAAAAATCAAACCTAATAACTTTTAGACACAGAGTTAAAATGTCAAGGAGTTGAACAAGTACCCTTACGAAGCTAACTCTGAAATACAACTTGCATTTATTCACAAAGCCTCCATCCCAGCATGCCCTTGGAGTCTGCCTCTATCTGTATTTCAAAGCTCATATGACAGCCACTCTTTGCAACATTCCTCAGATGACGAACTTGGTCCAAACCCTGTAAAAATCCAATCAGGGCATCACTGACTCCACTGGAGACTCTGCTAGTTTTACCTACTTTGGAGAAAGCTCCAGAGGAGTGAGGAAGACACCCCTAATGAAACCAGCCACCTATCCACCACTCCTGACTCTGTGTCCCAGGAGAGGTGTGGGGGAGGGGGAGGGGGGAGAACCAGATGTTTGTCCTGAGCTCTGTGGACACCTTATCTCCCCCAAGCCTCAGGTTCCCCACTCTGGAGCATTGCTCTACTGGCGGGGAGGCCATGCTGCCCGAAGAGCAAGAGAAGTGGAGACAACGGACAGGCCTTCTGGTCCACCAGCTCTATGGACAGTCGGAAACGGTAGGTGGACGGGTCCCTCTGGGCCACCCAGTCCAGCAGAGGAGCTGAATCTGTCAGAGCCTGTGCACTGGCCCCACGGTGCCCACAGCCCTTCCTCCCCTCCTGCTCCTGCCCCACAACGTGTGTGCTGCCCTCATACACACCCAGGCATGAGCTTCCAGGGCCAGCTCCTGCCTGGCCCTGTGGCTGCTGCTCTAGGGAGGGAGGGGGACGTGGGCAGGACTCGAAGGTGGGGCCTCCATGAGGCAGGAGGTACCTCCATTGCCATCACTCCTCCCGGCTCCCCTGATCCCAGGGACCCAGCCCCTGTCCTCAGATGCCTTTGGAAGGTTTTGTCCAATAGTCGTCAGCACACTGAGGTCTTGACAAGTCAAAGCCTGACTTGTGGCCAATCAGCCTGGAACTGCAGAGCTGCCCTCTGCTGGCCGGAGGCATCACACACATACACACACACACACACACACACACACACACACACACACACACGCAGACACACACACACACACACAGTCACCCCCAAGGCGATCACTGAGCACACAGTGGGCAGGCCGTGCAGTCTGCTGTGCTGACATCTTCAACCCCCTGATGCTGACACAGCCACTCTCCCCGCCTCCCACTATCCCCTCAGCTCAGAGTCACCCCCTCTCAGGACCTGTAGGGCAGGCTCTTTTGGTCCTAATTCACTTATTTGTCTGACGGTGTGTTGTTGTTTTTTTGAAAATAATGTTTTATTTTAGTCAGTTAAGCTGTCTGATTCCAGCCTGAGAAATGTGAGGGCTCTAGGCCTGACCTTGCATGGCTCCCAGTTCACTTTTGGACAAAGAGAAGCACATGCTACACCCATAACCCCAGTTCCTTGGAGTCGACTGCTTGAAGCCACAGAATACTCCCTCCTCGCTGCCCGGAGCCTCATTTCCCAAAGCACTTGCAACCCGCTCGCTCACCTGTGGGCGATTCCGTGTCCTGAAGTGTGAGCAGCAGCTTGGAGAGGGAGGCCTTCCTCTCCCAGGAGCTCAGGTGTCAGTTCCTCTCAGCATCGCCCATGGCAGCTTCACGCCCATAGGCATAGGTGGGCCCTGCCAGAAGCTCCACTTCCCCACCTCTAAAATGGGAACTGCCAACCCAGGGTGGTGGTGAGGACAGGGGCAGGGGTGTGCTGGCCCCCGGGCTGTGCTCAGCCTGCACATCCCCCAGGGCCGGCCTGCTGTCCTCACTGATGTGGGGGGTCGTGCGCCAGGTGTCAGGGGTGCAGAGCCCAAGGGGCCGTGTCCATGCTCAGACGCTTGTTTTCTATGGAGGGAAACACCTGCAAAAGTCAGTATAATGCCCTGTTGGCGACAACAGAAATTCGGGGAAAGTACCACTGAAGGAGGATCGCCCAGGCCTTCTCCTGGGGCCTGAGTCTGGCTGGTTGCCCTGAGGAGCCAGGTGAGCTCATGGGTGTGGCCTGTGCAGCTTCCCGCCCCCCAGGCTCTGAGAGGGGGTGCCGGCCGGGCCCCTCTGACAGAGGAGACCAGGGCATCACCTCATCTTCTGACTGTGAAGGCTTCGCTCTAGGACAGATGGTAGCTTCAGAGAACCAGGAAGGAGGCAGAGGTCACCAGGAGGGCAATGGGGTGGGCGTGGTGGCAGAGGAGCAACCTAAGTGATTTCAGCGCAGCCCCGAGGGCAGATGGGGCAGGGATCCTGTCAGCTTCAGTCTTGAGTAAGTGTTGGTCAAATGGACACAAGCCTGGCGTGCAGTGGGCACTCCCCCGCCCACAGCCCCGAGCTCAGCCCTAGGCTCCTTTCTTGGCCTCCCCCTCGGGACCCTGTGGCCCAGGATGCAGAGCTCCCAGCTCCCCACAGGCTCTATGAGCAGTGACCTATGACCCCGCGAGCAGGTGTGCTGTGTATGGTTCTTGCTGCTCTGTGATCTGCCTGGACCCTTTGACCACTGGTATTCTCTTCCTTTTGTGCACAGGGATTGACTTGCGGCACTCCCCGGGGATCACAGGTCAAGCCCGGCTCCATGGGGAAAGCCATCCCACCTTTCGACATCCAGGTTTGGTGCTAAAGGCGAGGCCAGGGAGCACTGAGGACTCAGCTGGGATCAGACCCCGTGTGACACCAGGTGGCAGAAGCAGCCGTGCCCCCTGCCCGAGGTGTCCTTGCTCCTCTCCTCCTAGTTCCCTCTGATTTCCTGGGAGGTTTCAGTACTATGGGCCTCAGTGCAGCTCACAGTGCCAGCCGAGGCCGCACACACAGCCGTGGCACACGGGACCTGGAGGAGGGCCGGCAGCTCTGTCCACCCGCCGGGGCTTTTAGCTTGTCCTGACCCTGTTTCTAGCTTGAAGACACATGCGATGTCCACGTACCAGAAAACAAACACACCCGTCTCTTGCTGATTTCAAAGACTTGACAGCTTCATTCTGTTTTCTGCCAGGGACCTCCCCATGGTCCCCACTGGTGTCACACGCATAAGCCAGGCAGAGCTTGGGTGGGCAGGATGCTGGGAGCCCTGCAGGGGGACTCACAGACCTCTTGCTCCAGGTCATCGACGACAAGGGCAACATCCTGCCGCCCAACACTGAGGGCAACCTTGGCATCAGGATCAAGCCCACCAAGCCCATTGGCCTGTTCATGTTGTATGAGGTGAGGGCACCCCCACCACCACCACTCTGTCCCTGGCACCCCTGCAGTGATAAGGGAGGGGACTCAACTCTGCATCCTGAGACTCCTCCCATCTCCGTTATGTGCTCCAGTTCAGTGAAGCCAGGTCCAGTTCCTGCAAAGCTCACAGCCTTTCCCCTCCTAACCCATGTGGCACTGATGGTGTAGAGAAGCCTGGCTTTGGGATCATCGGAATTGGGGCTGATGATTAAGAATGTGGCTTCGGCTGGGTTCACATCCTACCATCTAGTTTACCGACCGGGTGGGAACAAACCGAGTAACTGTCCTGAGCCTCCTGAGGCCTCCCCTCCCCCACTTCTCAGAGACACAGCCTGCAGACCATAGGAGTCATGCGTTTCCCCAAGTCAAATAAACAGCAGATCTAAGATTCAAACCCATGTCTTTCAGCCCCAAAGCCTAATGGGAAATCCAGGGATTACAGAACCTGTGATGGGCTCTAAGGAAACTGACCAGATAACCCCTAGCCCTCCCAGGGTAGTAGAGGCCACTAAGAGGATATCCTCAGTTTTTAAGATGGGCCATGGAAGGGTGGGCACACCTGAAAGTGATCTCAGATTCCACCTCCTTTCTCCAAAAGAACAGCCATCAGAGGGTCTCTTTCCTGGTTTCACTGTTGTCATCACTCTGCCCTCTAGGGGGCATTGCCTCTCATACTATCAATCAACAATAAAAAACACTGGCTAAACCATTCATCAATTTTTTTTATCTTTTTAAAGAGCCAGCTCTTGGTTTCTTTAATTTTTTGTATTTTTTTAATGTTATCTATGTTATTTATTTCTGCGCTAATCTTTATTATCTCCCTTTTTGTACTTACTCTGGGTTTTTTTTTTTTTTTTTTTTACTCTTTCTAGTTCTTTAAGTTGAAGGGTTAAATAGTTTATTGGTAATTTTTCTTGTTTTTTGAGGTATGCCTGTAGTGCTATGAATTTCCCTCACTGCATTTGCTGTGTCCCAGAGATTTTGGGTTGTTGTGTGTTCATTTTCATTTGTTCCCAGTAAGTTTTTTAAAATTTATTTCTTGACTAGAGACCCGGTGCACAAAATTCGTGCATGGGGTTGGGGGATGGTTCCCTCAGCCCAGCCTGCACCCTCCCCAATCTGGGACCCCTTGGGGGATGTCCGACTGCAGGTTTAGGCCCCATCCTGGGAATCAGGCCTAAACCTGCAGTTGGACATCCCTCTCACAATCTTGGACCACTGGTTCCTAATCACTCACCTGCCTGCCTGCCTGGTCAACCCTAACTGCCCCCCTCCACTGGCCTGATTGCCCCTCACTGCCTCTGTGTGCCAGCCTGGTTGCCCCCAATTGCCTCTCCTGTCGGCCTGGTCGCCCCACATGGCCTGCTTGTTCTGTTGTTCGGTCATCCCTCACTAAACCCTTGCCAGCCTGATTGTCCCACACAGCCTGCATTTTCAGTCATTTGGTCATCCTTACTAACCCCCCTGCCGGCCTGGTCGTAGGCAGCCATCTTGTGAGGGCATGAGGGTTAATTTACGTATTACCTCTTTATTATATAGGATTTCATTGGTAACCCATTCTTTGTTTAATAACATGATATTTAGCCTTCCCGTGTTTGAATGTTTTGGGGTGTTTTTACTGTAGTTGATTTCTAATTTCATGCCAATGTGATATGAGAAGTTGCTTGATATGATTTCTATCTTCTTGAACTTGTAGAGACTTGTTTTGTGTCCTCACATCTGGTCTATCTTTGTGAATGATCCATTTGCACTTGAGTAGAATGTATATTCTGCAGCTTTGGGGTGAAATGTTCTATAAATGTTAGTTAAATCCATCTGATCCAGTGTGTCCTTTAGAGTCACTGTTTCCTTGTCACGTTTTTGTCTGGAAGATCTATCCAGTGAAGTCAGCAGGGTGTTAAAGTCCCCTGCTATGATTGTATTGTTGTCAATCTCTTTGTTAAAGTCCTCTAGCAGTTTTTAAAATATATTTAGGTGCTCCTGTATTGGATGTGTATATGTTTAACAGGGTTCTATCCTCCTGTTGGATTCATCCCTTTAGTATTGTGTAGTGATCTTTGTTGTCTTTTGTGAGGGCCTTCATCTCAAAGTCTATTTTGTCGGATATGAGTATTGCTACTCCCACTTTTTTTTTTACCCTTTCCATTTGCATGGAAAACTTTTTTTCCATTCCTTCACTCTCATCCTGTGTATGTCTTTTGTTCTGAGGTGGGAATCTTATAGACAGTATATAGTTGGCTCATATTTTTGTATCCATTCAGTTATCCTATCCCTTTTGATTGGACCATTTAATCCATTTACATTTAGGGTTATTGATAGATAATTATTTATTGCCAGTTTAATTCTCTATGTGTAGGTTTCTCTCTCTGTTTCTCCTCATTACAGCAGTGCCTAACACATTTCTTGTAATGCTGGCGTGGTGGTGATGTACTCCTTTGTCCTTTTTTTTTTTTTGTCTGGGAAGCTCTTCATTTGACCATCTATTTTGAATGATATCTTTGCTAGGTATAGTGATCTTGGTCTCAGATCCTTGCTTTCCATTACCTTGAGTACTTCATGCTATTCCCTTCTGGCCTATAGATTTTCTGATGAGAAGTCAGGTGTCAGCTTTATGGGAACTCCTTTGTAAGTAACAGTTTGCTTTTCTTTTGCTGCCTTTAAGATTCTCTCTTGGTTTTTAACTTTTGGCATTTTAATTATGATATGTTGGGGCATGGGCCTGTTTGGGTTCTTCTTGCTTGGGGTTCTCTGTGCCCCCTGAACTTGTGTGACTTTTTCCTCCACCAGGTTAGAGATGTTTTCTGCCATTATTTCATCAAACATTGACCAGCTGGATCCTGCACGCCCCTTACTAGGGACTAAGCCCACAACCTGGGCATGTGCCCTGACCAGGAAGTGAACTGGCAACCTTTTGGTACATGGGATGATGCTCAACCAACTGAGCCACACTTGCCAGGGCCACAAGCTTTCTTTGAGGATGAGATGAGATAGCACTTGGGGAAGAAAATTCATTTAGCAAATGTTTATTGACACCTTCCATCTATTCAGCTACTGTGTTATATTAATATCAATTGTCAGTGTGTTTTGTGCATTATTTGACCAGTAGCATGCATTGATTCTTTGCATGTAAAGCAAATAGACTTAGAGAGATTTACAAAAGTTGCACAGGTGCCTGGTGGCGTGAGAAGCAGGATTCAAATGCAGATCTGAGCCCCAGGTTGCAGCTCAACATCTCTAATCTTATAGCCTTTAACAAGAGCGCCGTTCTCTTTGCAGAATGACCCAGTGAAGACAGCCAAAGTGGAGTGTGGGGACTTTTACAACACTGGGGACAAAGCAACTATAGACGAAGAGGGCTACATCTGGTTCCTGGGGAGGGACGATGACATCATCAACGCCTCTGGGTAGGTGTGGCTGAGCTGGGGCCTGGCAGCTCTAGGTTGCTTCACATTTCCTCCATGCACTGGGGATGGGCCCTCAGCCTATTCCTGATGCAGCCATGTCTACAGGGCCCTGGCCGGGGGTATCTGTGCATCTCCCCCAACATCAAAATAAAGGTCAAGAAGGCCTGGAAGTGCAACCACAGTAGATACTGTGAAATTTAAAGAGGGGATATAGGATTGGGAAGGGAGGCCTTATTTGAGCCCCTATTTGTCCCCATTGGTTGGGGGAAATTATTCTCTGTGTTCCTCTACTGGGACACATGTCACAGAACAACAATAGCAGCTAAGCTTGTGGAGTACTTAATGTGTGCAAGTACACTCCTCTGTGCTTTGCTTAACCCAATGGATGCCATTATTGTGCCTATTTTACAGATAAGGACACTGAGTCACTGACCAGTGAACTAAGTTGCTGAAAGTTTCCAAGGTAGTGCAGGGAGAAGCCCAGATCTGAACCGAGGTAGTGTGGCTCCCCATCTGTTGTCCTTACTGCTTAGGTGATGTAGGGAGAAAAAGTGACACAAGTAACAACTTCCCTTGGATGCATCAGGGAAATTAAGTCAGTTTTACTTTTTAAATTTCTAAATGAGATGCTGATGCAGTGGGATAGAATTTCTCTAAACTTTAAGACAAAGTCTGAGGCTCCCAAGAGTACAGTAAGAGTCCTGCTGGGCAGCTCCTGGTGCCACGCCCACAGCCCCAGGAGGACAGCCTTCCACCCCCACCCGCCCTCCAGAGGCAGTGAGGGGAGACCTGGGAGCATCTGAGCCTGGAATGCCCAGGTCTTCACATCCTGGTCCCACTGCAGAGCCTTTTCACAGGCCTCTGGCTCTCGTGAAGGTTGCCCTCTGTGCCCAGGGGAGCTGTGACTCCCAAACATGGGATTGGAGGGCCTGGGTCACTGCAGCCCTGGCATCTGCTCAGACCCAGAGCAGGAACCCTTGGTCCCACAGGTACCGCATTGGGCCGGCAGAGGTGGAGAGCGCCCTGGCTGAGCATCCGGCGGTGGCTGAGTCAGCTGTGGTGAGCAGCCCGGACCCGATCCGAGGGCAGGTGAGGAGCAGGACAGGAGGTCATGGGGTCTGCCTGTGGGCACTGGAAGGCTGGTGCAGGGGAACCTTCCAGAGCAGTTGGTGTGCGCGGCGCACTTACACCGGGTGGGCAGCAGGAGACACTGTGGCATTATCCGTGAAATCCTGACTAGATACTGAGTGAGCTGGCTCATTTAACCCTCACCACAACCTATTGAGTTAGAGACTCTTCCTTATTATACCCTTTTAATAGACAAAGAGACAGCATACAGAAGTTCAATAACTTGCCCGGATTGCACTGTGGTGGAGCCAGGATGGAAATCTGAGCACTCTGTTTCCAATGCATTCATTGGATTTATTGAGCACCTACTATGTACAAGGCCTGTGCAATTAAATGGGGACATAAATAACAATATAAAAGCAATAAGTTCAGCCCAGCCTATGTGGCTCAGTGGTTGAGTGTCGACCCCGGAACCAGGTTTGATTCCCAGTCAGGACACATGCCAGGTTGCAGGCTAGATCCCCAGTAGGGGGCCTGCAGGAGGCAGCAGAGTGATGATGCTCTCTCATCATTGATGCTTCTATCTCTCCCCCTCCTTTCCTCTCTGAATTCAATAAAAACGTATTTTTTTTTAAAAAAAGGATCAACAACTACTTAAAAAATGAAAACAATAAGATCAATAAATTACCAACAATTATTAAAAGCCCACAAGGTTCCAGGACCAGAACTGTACATACATTAGTGGTAAAAATGGTGATGAAAACAATGATGCTGGGGGTAATAATAAAGTTACACTGGGTGCATGTTTTATGTGCATCATCTCATGGAATCTGAACATAAGGCCACCATGTTCAGCTCCATGGGATGAACCTGTACTCTGCGCATGTCACAGAGAAGGAATTTGAGGTTAAGTGATTTTGCAAGGGAAAGAGGAGAAATTGGAAGTATTTGGGTTTGAACCTGGCCTTGACCTTTTCCAAAGGCTCAGGTGTCAGCTTGCTTTGACATTCGTTGCATTAACACTTACTTTTAAACCAGGCAACTGGGTGGCACTCACCCTGAGCCCCGGCTCTGGTTCTGCGTTGCAGGTGGTGAAGGCCTTCATTGTCCTGACCCCACAGTTTCTGTCCCATGACCCGGACCAGCTCGCCAAGGAGCTGCAGGAGCATGTGAAGGCAATGACAGCCCCGTACAAGTACCCGAGGAAGGTGAGTGGGGCCGATGCTCGAGCCCTTCCTTGCTCTGCTGCCCCAAGTCTGGTCGGGTGGCCGGGAGACAGTGTAACCGCACATAGAATGAGCATTTTTCTCTGCAGAACAAGCAATTCAGCTTAGGGGTGGATGCAGCCAAGTGAATGGGATGGAACCTCTATTCTAGGTTGGAAACCCCAAAACATGCTGCACATTACCCTGAGGGCAAAAAAAAATCAGACCAGTGCCCAAAGCTATCCAAGGAGGCTATTTAACATCCTTCAAAATTTGAAAAAGACATCCAAATCAGCCTCTTTCTAACTATTCCTAAGCATGATTCATACTAAGAAATACATTTGATACTGCCACTCAATACTTATTTATGTACACAGCAAATGAGTGTTAACAAAATTATATTTATTTTTTATTTTATTTTTTTAATTTTTTTATTGCTTAAAGTATTACAAAGGGTAACAAAATTATATTTATCCTTAGAACATTCAGTCCATTTCCTTTTTAGATATAAAATAATTAGCCCTTTACATGCAATAAATTAATATTTCAAGAAAAATGATTTTAAATGTAATAATGTTACATGCAATAAACATTTCAAAAAATTATTTTAAATATAATATATTACATGCAATAAACATTAATATTTCAAGAGGAAAAAAATTTTAAATGTAATAATATTACCAAAATTGTCCTAACATAATATAATATCACAAAAGTTGTAGGAGATATTAAAAATCTGCAAATAACAGGATTACTTCTATTATATTTTAAAATATTTTTTTCTCTGGCTCTATTTTTGTTCATCAGTTTATGTTGTTCATTATATTTCACAAATGAGTGAGATTATGTGATATTTATCTTTCTCCAACTGGCTTATTTTAATTAGCATAATAGTCTCCAGTTCCATCCATGCTGTTGCAAATGGTAAGAGTTCCTTCTTTTTACAGCAGCATAGTATTCCATTGTGTAGATGTACCACTGTTTTGGAATCCACTCATCTGCTGATGGGCACTTAGGCTGTTTCTAAATCTTAGCTATTGTAAATTGTGCTGCTATGAATATAGGGGTGCATACACCCTTTCTGATTGGTGTTTCTGGTTTCTTGGGATATATATATCCTAGAAGTAGGATTACTGGGTCAAATGGGAGTTCTATTTTTAATTTTTGTAGGAAACTCCATACTGTTTTCCACGGTGGCTGCACCAGTCTGCATTCCCACCAGCAGTGCACAGGGGTTCCTTTTTCTCTGCATCCTCCCCAGCATTTGTCCTTTATTGATTTGTTGATGATAGCCATTCTGACAGGTGTGTGATGGTACATCATTGTTGTTTTGATTTGCATCTCTTGGATGATTAGTTACTTTGAGCATGTTTTCATATGTCTCTTGGCCTTCTTTTTTTTTTTAAGTATGTTTTATTGATTTTTCACAGAGAGGAAGGGAGAGGGATAGAGAGTTAGTAACATTGATGAGAGAGAAACATCGATCAGCTGCCTCCTGCACACCCCCTACTGGGGATGTGCCTGCAACCCGGACTCGAACCTGGGACCCCTCACCTGGGACCTCTCAGTCCACAGGCTGATGCTCTATGCACTGAGCCACACTGGCTAGGGCTCTCTTGGCCTTCTGTATGTCCTCTTTTGAAATTGTCTATTTAGGTCCTTTGCCCATCTTTTGATTGGATTGTTTATCTTCCTTTTGTTAAGTTGTATGAGTTCCCTGTAAATGTTGGAGATTAAACACTTATCTGAGATAGCATTGGCAAAAATGTTTTCCCATGCAGTGGGCTTTCTTGTTGTTTTGTTGATGGTTTGTTTTGCTGTGCAAAGCTTTTTATTTTGATGCAGTCCCATTTGTTTATTTTCTCCTTAGTTTTCATTGCCCTAGGAGCTGTATCAGTAAAGATATTGCTATGACATAGGTCTGATATTTTGCTGCCTATGGATTCTTCTAAGATTTTTATGGTTTCCGTCTTACATTTAAGTCCTTTATCCATTTTGAGTTTATTTTTGTGTATGGTGTAAGTTGCTGGTCTAGTTTGATTTTTTTGCATGAATTGTTCCAATGATCCCAACACCATATATTGAAGAGACTATTTTGACTCCATTGTATGCTATTGCCTCCATTGTCAAATACTAATTGAGCATAATGGCTTGGGTCGATTTCTGGGTTCTCTGTTTGGTTCCATTGGATTATATGTCTGTTCTTGTGCCAGTACCAGGCAGTTTTGAGAACAGTGGCTTTTAATATAGTTGGATATTTGGTATTGTGATCCCTCCAACTTTGTTCTTCTTTCTCAGGATTGTTGAGGCCATTTGGGGTCTTTTTTTAAATTCCATATGAATTTTTGGAGAATTTGTTCAAGGTCTGTGAAATATTCCATTGGTATCTTACTGGGGATTGCATGGAATCTATAGATTTCTTTGGATAGTATGGACATTTTACTGATGTTGATTCTATGAATCCATAAACATGGTATATTCTTCCATATGTTTATGTCTTCCTCTATCTCTTTTTTCAATGTCCTGTAGTTATCTGAGTTCAGGTATTCTACCTTGTTAGTTCAGTTTATTTCTAGGTATCTTAATTTTTTTATTGCAATGGTAAGTGGAATTGTTATTTTAGTTTCTCTTTCTGTGAGTTCATTATCCTATATAATAAAAGGCCAATATGCAAATCAACTGAACAGCAAAATGACCAGTCGCTATGATGTGCACTGACCACCAGGGGGCATACGCTCAGCGCAGGAGCACCACTCAGCCTGAAGCCGGGCTCATGGCTGGCAAGTGCAGCGACCTCTCCCACCTCCTCAGTAGTGCTAAGGATGTTCAACTGCAGCTTAGGCCTGCTCCGCATAGTGAATGGGCCTAACCCATCAGTTGGACATCCCCCGAGGGTTCCCGGACTGCGAGATGGCACAGGTCGGGCTGAGGGCCACCCTCAAGTGCACAAATTTCATGCTCTTGGCCTATTGTTGGTGTATAAAAAAGCCATAGATTTCTGGGTGTTAACGTTGTATCTGCTACATTGCCAAATTCATTTATTAAGTGGATTAGTTTTTTGATGGAGTCTTTAGGGTTTTCTATGTACAATATCATATCATCTGCAAATAATAACAGTTTTACTTCTTCTTTTCCAATTTGGATACCTTTCATTTCTTTTCTTGTCTGATGACTATGGCTAGCACTTCCAGTACTATGTCAAACAGGAGTGGTAAGCGGGCATCCCTGTCTTGTTCCTGTTCTTAGGGGAAAGGGTTTTAGTTTTTGCCCATTGAGTATGCTGTTTGTTGTTGGTTTGTCATATATGCCTTTATCATGTTGAGATATTCTCCCTCTATTCCCACTTGGCTGAGAGTTTTTATAAAAAATCTAGAAGCCGAGTGCACGAAATTCATGCATTGTGGTGACGTGTCACTCAGCCCAGCCTCTCCCTCTCACAGTCTGGGAGCCCTCAGGGGATGTCCTACTGACGACTTAGGCCCACTCCCCTCTGCAGGAGGTGACCGGGATAATCAGGGGAAGGTGCCACTCCCATCACCCCCTGCTGCTGCCACTGATGGCTGCCGCAGTCGCCAAGGTGTCTTCATCAACATGTATTCCAGCCCCTTCACCAAGAAAAAATGACAACTTTCTTTAGGCATTTTCATGATGTGTCTTTCATAGGATATGACCTTTCTTTCTCTCTTTCTTTTTTTTTTTATCCTCACCTGAGGATAGGTTTCCATTGATTTTTAGAGAGCAGGAAGAGAGAGGGAAAGACAGAGAGAAACATCAATGTGAGAGGGACACTTCAATTGGTTGCCTCCTGCATGAGCCCTGACCTGGGCCCCGGCCAGGGAGGAGCCTGCAACCTAGATACATGCCCTTGATCAGAATCGAACCCGGACCCTGCGGTCCACAGGCCGAGGCTCTATTCATTGAGCCAAACCGGCTAGGGCAGGTTATGACATTTCTTAGCCCCTCCAGCAGCGGACCCCTGTTTTTCCTTCAGGAATGAGGTGGAAAAACCCTAGATCACCTTATTGGATTCTTATTACCCAAGTTACCAAGAACACTGCGAGTGGCGGTGTACAGGGAGCTTAGCCAATGAGCTGTCAGAAAGGGTGCTTCCTCTGCAGCTCATTCACAGAGGCCCCGCCCAGCAGGCGAGCCACACAGCAGCAGCTCAGAGCACACCCCCACCTGGTGTGTGTCTGCTGGGTTGGGGGCATTCTCCGAGCCGCAGAGGCTTGTAGGAGGTGCCCCCATGTGTTGTGTCTCTGCTCTGGCCCTCTCCTAACCCCAGCCTCCCCGCAGCCACTGGGACTGGAGCGACACACAGCTCCTCCTGAGCGGGTCGTGATGTAGCCTCCTCTTGAGCCTGTTGTGACACCTTAAGGCAGAGGTTCTCAACCTTCTGCCCTGTAAATACAGTTCCTCATGTTGTGGTGACCCCCAACCATAAAATTATTTTCGTTGCTACTTCATAACTGTAATGTTGCTACTGTTATGAATCGTAATGTAAATATCTGATAGGCAGGATGGTCTTAGGCTACCCCTGTGAAAGAGTCATTCGACCGCCAAAGGGGTCTCGACCCACAGGTTGAGAACCGATGCCTTAAGGCATCCTGGCTAATTTGCATATTACCTCTTTATATATATATATATATATTAGAGGCGCGGTGCATGAAATTTGTGCACGGGGGCCGGGGGTCCCTCTCAACCCAGCCTGCACCCTCTCCAATCTGGGACCACTGGCTCCTAATCGCTCAGCTGTCTGCCTGCCTAGTTGCCCCTAACTCTCCGCCCCCCCGCCCCCCCACTGCTGATTGCCCCCTCACTGCCCTGTTGTGCCAGCCTGATCACCTCTAACTGCCCCCTCCCTGCTGGCCTGGTCACTCCTAACTGCCCTCCCCCCCCCCGACAGCCTGGTCACCCCCAACTGCCCCCCCCTGCTGGCCTGGTCGCCCTTAACTGCCCCCCCTTGCTGGCCTGGTAACCTCCAAATGCCTCCCCTGCTGGCC